ACTACCCCCGCCCCCCCCCCCCCTTTCCCCGAAAAAAAAGGATATTTACTTGTGAACTATTTGTTGAGTTGTGATGTTTGGTTTGTAAATGTGGCGATTTGTCTCTACTAACTGGTATAAAATTATTCCAATTCTAGCAGGAAAAATTTCATGCATGCATAAGTATTTATTTTGTTGCTGTTGTTCTTGCAGTACACTACGCTTAAGCCGTTGGGCGATAGAGTATTGGTAAAGATTAAGACTGCGGAGGAGAAGACTGTAGGTGGTATCCTACTTCCAGTAACAGCTCAGTCAAAACCTCAAGGAGGTGAGGTTGTTGCTGTTGGGGAAGGTCGTTCAGCTGGCAAGACTAAAGTGGACATTAGCGTGAAGGTAATTTTATATTCAGATAATAATAATCAAGCTAGGATAAATCCATGGAAAATCAAGTTGACTGAAAAGATCTATTGTGTATAGACGGGTGCCCAAGTCGTCTACTCAAAGTACGCTGGAACAGAGGTGGAGTTCGATGGATCAAAGCACCTCATTCTGAAAGAGGATGATATTGTCGGTGTTCTTGAGACAGATGATATCAAGGATTTGCAGCCATTAAATGACAGAGTCCTAATCAAGGTTTGTCAATCTTTTCCTTTTTTCCTTCCTTGTATGCAAGATATCTGATGTTTCATAGTCAGCTGTTGCCTATTTTCTTCTATAATTTTCCTTTGTTTTACCTGACTATAATTGACTGGATTAGCGTTAACTGGTGGTTGCATTTGCTGTCAGGTTGCTGAGGCTGAAGAAAAAACCGCAGGAGGCTTACTGTTGACTGAGGCAGCCAAGGAGAAGCCTTCAATTGGCGCGGTAAGAGATAGAAGATTGACTGGCAGTTAATAGTCAATATTGCCTCTGATTTGCATCCCTAGTCTATTCTCCCTATATTGGCTGAGATGTTCTAAACCTTATTCTATGTTTGAAATTACAGGTTATAGCTGTTGGGCCTGGTCCTCTTGATGAGGAAGGAAACAGGAAACCACTTTCAGTATCCCCTGGAAATACAGTTCTATACTCCAAATACGCGGGCAGTGAATTCAAAGGCGCTGATGGATCCGATTACATTACACTCAGGGCATCTGATGTAATGGCCGTGCTATCTTAGTTGGATATCGAGTCAATTATTCTGTGCTAAAAATTTCAGCAAGGTTTAGGAAGAGGAAGCTGCATTCATATTTCGGCAAACACTGCAAATTAATGATTAATGTCAAGTGTAGAATCAATTTTCTGAACGCACTTCTTTTCTTTTCTTGATTTGAGGAATTTTTACCCTTTTGGGTATTTTGTATGTTTTGTACGTTAAAAGGTGATTGAAAGCTGCAGATTATGAAGATTGGAACTGAATTTTTCCTGATGGATTTTCTTTATAAGTTCTAGGAGCCATCATTAGACATTGTTTCCCACATCCGCCAAAGCTATACACTTTCTGTTACATTTAGTACAACAGGAATTTTTTCTTCCTGTAGTTTTTCCAAGCCTAAATTACTAGGCTAATTTACATCAACCTGATCTAGAAACAAATAATTCAACATTGGAAACCTGCTCTCCTAAACTCACTAACAGATTTTCGGACCTTTGAATAAGAATTAAGAAACGGATCCTGATCTCAGTAAATCTGATTAAAACACTCCACAAAGTAGTAATGGTACTAATCTAACATCAACTGTGCCACGAAGACATGCACGGACTGCCATATCTCGAAAGGGTATGTGTATTCACGTCACGAATAAAAAACTTGACATGAGTTGCTCCTACCAGCTGCATTCTGGTGATCTGAATTGCTAGCAGCTTCAAGGGAATTGTGTTGAAAATGCATTGCAAAGTTAGTTCATGAATCGAGAACGCCTTCATCGATTAAATGATGCAGCTGAGTTGTCATCATAGTGTCCCCTCCATGCATTACCACTGTCAGTGCCACTGTTAGCTTGGTTTGGTACTTGCACATTACCTAAATCCCCATCCAAACTCATTTGCTGCACTTCAGCAGAAGACAAGATTTTGACGCTCTGAACACAGCTCACGAATTCCCTGAGAAAAATGAGGAAAACATGAATATCTTGGAAAAGTAGTACTTCAAGAATCATAATACAACTTTCTACAAGTCAACACTTACTCCCAAGGATCGTCACCAACAAGCAGTATATCATTCTCATGGTCTACATACACAAGCTTCCATTCAGTTCTTTGAGGGTCTTCAAGTTGTCCCTCAATACCGAACATACGTGCTAGATCATGCCTTAGTTCATCATAGCCTTTGTAACGAGTCACATCTATAGTTCTTCCCACAGAGCCTCGTTTTTGAACCTTCATGATTGCAAAACAATATTAAAAACATAAATGACAGGAATGAGATATAACACTACTACGCCGTCATATGAAACTTGAAATAAGAAAAGACACATAAAGAGCGATAAAAGGAGAGCAAAAGCATGTGTGGGGCAGACCTTTGTATATGTTCTCATGCGTTGAGTCTGATTCGTCCACGAATTATTATTTACAACACCATTATCATTAACAGCAAGATCGTTAGAACATCTTGGCTGGTATGACATGTTTGGAACCCCAAATTGTTGAGAATTGATCCCAGCAGCAGACAACTCTGTTTCTATGTCCCTAGGGGTATTTCCAAAAGGAGAGAATAGGTTTTGCATATCCTTTCCGGAATCATAATCCCTTGACAGCAAAGCATCGGAGGTCAATCCATCTATATTTGCTGCAGAAGGAAGATTGTTCCTAGAATGTGATTGAACATCGCCTTCCGCACATAATGCAGGCAATGAAAAGTTGAAGCCACTAGAATCCAACCCGTATGATGTTGTCGATGAGGCTGCCTCTAAGTTCTCAGTACCATTACCTTTGTATTTAGACTGCTCCGAACTTTTTGAGAAGGGTAGTTCATGTTTCATTCGAAATTCGGATTTGTTTTGCTCTTGAGATGGATCAACTACTGACTCATCCACTAGTATGGCTTGCCCTTGGTTCCTGGTCAAGAAGTTTTGTGGTGAAACTTGGAAATTATTTGTAGAAGGAGAGGTTGAACATGAAGGAGCATCGCCATCTGTAGCACCAGAAAGTGCTCTGATTGTTATCGGGGATTTGTTCTGGCCTTGGAGTTGGTTGAAAGCATGTTGAGGTGACTGTAGATGTGTGGCTGTGGTCATGATGTTGGAACTAAATTGCTGATGACCAAACTGGAGCTCTTGTGGTTGCCGGTTCTGTTGTTGCTGGGGCATACGTGGTTCCAGAGTAGAGCTTACATGAGATAATTGCTGTGCTTGTTGCTGCAGTTGCTGTTGCTGCTGCTGCTGCAGTTGCTGTTGTTGCTGCTGCAGTTTATTAAGAAGCTGTAGTTGCAGCTGCTGCTCAGTAAGGCTCTGCTGTGATGATGTCTGTACTTGTGGCCTCTGCATCAAACTTTGTTGCAACAATTGTAGTGGAGCCTGCTGCGGTATTATCTGCTGCTGCTGCTGGGATTTTTGCAAGAGGTTAGACTGCTGTTCCGCTTGTTGCTGAAATGGGAAGTCTTGTGCCGAGGATGTTGAAAGAAATGGATTTTTATTGACAGGAACATTTTGCTGTGATTGGTTGCTGGCTGATAACAACTGTTGCTGCTGAAGCTGAGCATATATCGAAGCTTGTGGAAAACTTTGGTTTGGCATCTGGTTAGGGGATATACAATTATTTACTGGTGGTGAATTCACGGTTAACTGTTGCTGCTGGGGTCCACGTTGTTGTTGGTGCAGTTGCTGCTGGGGTCCACGTTGTTGTTGATGCAGTTGCTGCTGTGCTTGCTGGTGAAGCTGAGGTTGTGGTAGGGGTTGTGGCGGCTGCTGCAACATATGTTGCGGTGGCTGCTGCTGCTGTTGCTGTGTGTGTTGCTGCTGTTGCTGTGTGTGTTGCTGCTGCTGTGCACTCGGGGGAGACTGTAATGATTGCTGTTGTTGTTGGGGCCATGCTAATTGTGGCTGCTGGATTTGACCAAATTGCTGATTTAGTTGATTTGGTTTGTTAAACTGGAGACCTGGTGTAGGTGACTGAAAGCTCAACAACTTAGAATGGTCATCCGTGCCAATATTACTGTGCAAGACATTGGGAAGTCCGGATTGGGCAACAGGATTATGATTGTTCTGTTGCATACTCATCCATTGTACCAAGCTTAGTCCAGGGAATATTGAACTTGGAGCATCTTTTAGACCGAACTCATCGCTGATCCATGGCATCCCCCTCTTTAATGCATTTTCAATATCAGACTCATCACCTGCAAAAGCACTACCCTTTTGAGGACTATATCGAGGAAGTTACAGTAGACTAATCTTGTGGAAGTCGAGATGAGGAGATTAAATTGATAAACATCCTCGATACTTTATTTACTAATAGTTAGACCTATTTCCAGCCATATTTAATCAGAAATATTACTGAATGGAAATTACAATATCTACTGCAAGTCAAAGTCAAGTTTTAACTACAGTGAACCTTCAAATAGCCTCTTTGTCTTAGTTCTTTTTAACCTTTGAGACATTAAAAGCGACAGCTAAATTCAAGTAGCTTACCAGGAAAACCTGGCTGTTTAGGGAACTTGGGCCTGAAAAATGGAGGTGGACAGATATAAAAAGGAGTTACGACAGGCTCAATATCCCAAATTGAAACTCTGCTTGGACGTTCCCCGGCAGTTGATTCATCCCATCCCACCTAACAAATTAAATAAAAAAAATAATTAAGGACTGGATTCAGGAAATACTTTGGAACCAGAAGTAAAGTTCAGTAAAAGAGCTAGCAGGATATATAATGACCAACATCTGTAAATGGTTAAAATGATTTTTTAAGAAGCAAAACATACATAATCACAAAAGAAAAAGGCAAACATAATGCTTCTAAAACATGTCATTACCATCAAGAAGTCATGAACCAAAGTGCGAGTAAGCACTGCTAATTAGGAGGAGCAACCGATAATGAATGACATTGCCTAATATATGTAGTTGGATTTGGTATGACTGAGAAATATACTTTCAGGAAGCTGGAAGAGCTCTACTATGAACACTAAGTTCTAATATCAAGATTATATGCGAATTCTTGGGGACAAAGCCTAGATGACCGAGTACCTGAAGATTACGCCACTGAGAGCTCTTCCATCGTATGGGGTCCAGATCACTAACACCAGTTATTGTACCCATATACCTACGGACTCCAGACTCCTCCGTCTCAAACATCATCCGAAATCGCATGCCTAGCGAAACTTGTGCGTACATAGCTTTATTATATTTGGCCAGAGGAATCACAAATTCAGAAGGGCTAGCCCTGTCAAGAATAAATGGAGCAAGATAAATAATTTGTGTATTATTCAACATTTAAGTCCAAACACGTAATATTTTCTATTTCAGAAGGGTTGAAATAGTACCTCGGATTGTAAAAGATACTAAACGGGCTGTTGTTTGCAGCAGCATGAGCTGCAGCAGCAAGGATCCCAATGTGCATGCTGTCACTAGATATAACAGATGAGGAGAGAGCAGGCTGCTGTCTATTCGCTCGTTTTATACCCAAGAGAAGCTGTGACTTTTCATCTCTACATCAAATTTTCCCAGTTTAGCAACAAGATGACTATCATATATAAAAATTACCAACTAATTTTCACCACTACCTTATGAAAAGGACAGAATCACCGGCACATAGCCTTTTAGAGGAGATAAAGACACTCCAACCAGTTGTCAATAGGTGTCTTTTTGGTTGACCTGAAATCATGCAAATTAATTTCAGTGAGCACTTATTGGAATCACATTTTTCTCAAGTTAAGTTGGATTTAAAGACAAATATCGCTAATCTATAAAGAAAAAGGATAATTATTCGAAACACTTAATTTAGCACTCCAAAACGGAACTGTATCCTTTGAGAAAAACCTTAAATGTCAACTACTAGTATAGCAACTCAAAGTGTTATACCCCATTTGTAGTTCTACATGGAATATTCAAATTCAGCTTCCAACATAAGAGAGTAAAAGATCTTAAAATGTACCTCGATATATATGCCTAAAAGTCCAAGCTTGGTCATGCAAATCTCTAGCCATTAACTCCTGAGCAGGAGGTTGCATTGAAAAATCCTATAAAAGAAACTTCCCGTCAGATGCATAAAAGCGGATCTCTTTTTCTTGAAGATACTTTGTGAAGATAAACAAACCAGTGGAGGAAATATCTTCTCAGCCGCTCGACGAGGAACAGAAAATCCACCATGTGTACTTGTATCACTAGCTGTGAGAGTTTTACAGAAGAACTCAGCAGGTTGCCTGTTCTGCTTAAGACCCATATCCGATAAAATTAAAGCCTCCTGGTCATACTGCAGGAACAAAAAGCAAAATTTCATATCATACAACTTCCTGCTGAGGAGGTAAAAAATACGTTCACCAAAAGATGACAGCTGAAATTGCAAACAGCATAAAGGACTCACTTTATTTACAGGCTGAAGAGTCATCTGAGCATAAACCTCATCAGTTTCAGGGTCAGCCTAACAAAAATGTCACAAGTATACCACGTTAGAATAAGGGAAACTCCACTACTCTTTGATTTTTCTTAAGAGAACTATGTTTTTCTACTTAATTCATATGCAACATCAATTTGAGATTGTGGATCCAAACAAACACTGACGAAACTCACGAAAGGATGGTATGGGAAGACGTCCATATTAAATCATTAATTGTAAGAAACATATGTGGAAATGGAAAGACAATTCACGACAACGTGTGGATAGAGGAAGATGTCGTACATGTAAAGTGACATTGTGTAACATGCAGATCAACTTGGAAGGAAGATTAGGATAACTTGGTATTCCATCTGTCTCCTTTTGCATTGATGCTGCCACCTGCATGGTGTTAATATCGAGTAAGGTTTCATCATCGGACAATATCTAGGGAAGCAATACTCCGATTCAACTTAAAAAGAAACATACTTGCTCACTGTGACCTTGAGGAAAATATACTACAAGGCTTCCAATAGGAGGCAAAGAAACCAACGGGCCAGCACAAGCGTGCCATAACTCTGAATTCATGACCTTTTTATCACCTGTAGCATTATGATAAACAATTTCAGGTATGCTATTTACAAAATTAATATTTTTAACTTTTATACAAAAACAACACACCAGAAGCTTCAATATGCTAGAAACTAACGTCCTTTATGCTTGAAATTATGCTCTTGACTACCAGTTATATAAAAATCATTTATGCAACCAAAAAAAGGTAAGTTTCTTCTGTCTTAAGCAGAAAAATTAACTACTGTTACATAAAGACAAGGAGTTCCGCAAGCCAAATGATTATACAGCTTCAGCAATACTAGGAACCTACGCGAATATCGTGTGCCTCTCTAATGGTTGTATACCAAATGGAAATCGAAAATTAACCAACACTGGTGAGTTTAGGCATGCCAATGATATGCAGGGATTGATGATTAAGAAGAAGCGGTAATTTCTTGATCTAGTAATCAATGAATAGAACAACTTTTTCAGTTTCCTTTCTCAAAGAAAACCATGCGACAATATGAAATCACGACAAGTGGATCCAATAAAAACATCATGAACACAGAATGTCAAACAAACTTTGCAGTATTAATTTCGTTCCTATTCTCAGCGATATCCATGTTTTCAACTCTGTTCTTTCCCTTCCTTATACTGGCTTGTAAGAAAAGCAGAAGCTACTCAAATCTTAATTGACAGAGAATGGTGCACAAAAATCAAAATGTATTCCTTCTCATCCAAAATGGAGTAAGCACAAGATTCCAAGAGTAGTTTAGGCATTTCTAAATTGAGCTAGAACCAATTACCTAGCTCATGTGAATGCCCATGTTAGGACTTATCAAACTAACAAATCAAAGCTCAACTAAAGGGAAGCCCGGTGCACAAGGCATCCGCGTTCACAGAGGGTCTAGGGAAGGGCCGTAGGGGTGTTTGATGTAGACAGTCTACCCTAATGCAAGCATTAGTGACTGCTTTCACGACTCGAACCCGTGACCTATAAGTCCACGGAGACAACCTTACCGTGGCTCCCGTTCAAATAAAACCCAACTACGACAGAAAATTTCACTTATTATGAAACAGATTGAAGAAAATAAATCACAAGGCAGAAGATAGAAATGCAAAAGAATCAATTAAGCTGAAGTAAACACCTTCTCCTGAATTTGCAATATATCCGTTTGATGGCGCCTTCATTTCAGCAAAATTTCCACTTGAATTTCTTCACAATTTATTTATCTTTCCCACTTCTCAAAAACAAAAAAAAAAATCCTCTAACACAAAAATCCAGCTGCAAAGAGCTTATAACTCCACCATTATGCTAGCTCCATAATTGCAACACAATATTTTATAATATCCAAATCCAGCAGAATTTCCTAAAATGCAAATATTCTTCCTTTTCCATTGTCATGAATACGTCAGCATTTTCCGGTTGCCGGAATCAAACTACACCCCACAAAATAACTGCCTCTTTTCAACTTAACTGTACCCAAAATAGATAGATAATTTTATCTCTGAATTCAGTGATTACTGATTACCACTTCAGCCGGTAGAGGAAGTAACTAAAACTAGAACCACCAAGCTAAGACTCGCCGGAAAATCAAGAATGCAAAAAAAAAAAAAAATTCCAAAAATGGGAAGGAAGAGAGAATAAAGTAGAGACAATAGGTGTGGTCAATAAGTTATACGATACCCCAAGAATCAGAGAACTCGCCGGAAAATCAGACGCCAATAATAACGGAGCTGCTTTATATTGCTACTGTATATGTACTACAATAACATCTTTATACTATTCTGTATGCAAGATTATAATATAATTAAGTATTGTTAATGAAAAAAATATGAAATAAAGTTATAGCGTAATGCGTCTGTTATATGATACGTATGTTAGTGTCAAAAAATAGAGTTTACGTTGAAAGGAGTAGTAGTAGAGAACAAGCCGACATAGATGAACTGGACAAAGGTTAAATAATGAGTTTAAATTATAAGCCATGTTTTGCTCTTACATGACATTATTTTCATTATATTCTGAGTTACTACACTACATCCTCTTAGATTCCTATATAATCTCTCTTTTCTTGTAAACAAATAAAAAATTGTTTGGACATGTTGAGTCATAAGTGTATTTAAATTTTTCGGTAAAATATAGGATTGGTCGGTTAGTTGATACTAATTGCATTTGCAAGTCAAAAAGTATTTAAATTATGCATATCATTAATTTGTAAATAATATATAAAGGAGAATACGATGCACAAACTATTCCGCGCAGAGTCCGTGGAAGGCCCGTGCTAGAAGTGTGTGAACAAAATACGGGGGATTTGCATCTATACCCGCTTTTTGGGTCACGTTTTAACTTGTGTCCGCTTTACAAAAAAAATTGCAAGCATACCCACTTTTTCGCGTAACTTCAGCATACGGGGCTGAAGTAGCAAAAGCAATCACGCAAAACTTCAGCATTCTAGTAGACGAGGCTGAAGTTTTTTTTGTCCTGGATAAGATGCTGAAGTTATTTAGTTCATTTGTAAAAACTTCAGCACTAAAATAGCTGAAGTTTTTTTTTGTCCTGGATTCATTAATTTTGTCAAAAAACTTTTTCAAAAATTTCAACAGAAGATACTAAAGTTATTTAGTTTATTTGTAAAAACTTCAGCAATAAATAAGCTGAAATTTTTTTGTCCCGGATAAGCTTTTTCAAAAACTTCAGCAAAAAATGCTGAAGTTATTTAGTTCATTTGTAAAAACTTCAGCACTATATATGCTGAAGTTTTTTTGTCCTGGATTCATTAGTTTTGTCATAAAGCTTTTTCAAAAACTTCAGCAGAAGATGCTGAAATTATTTAGTTCATTTGTAAAAACTTCAGCACTATACAAGCTGAAGTTTTTGAAAAATCTTTCTAATATACTAGATAAATAATCACCTTATTCTTTCATAGTGTATTACTACTATAAAATAATCAGATTGCCAACAATATCTAAATAATAAATTTGGAAACAATAAACGTGAAAAGAACAGAATTACGTGGAAATATTCACAAATTATTGTCTACTAACTTACGTAATTATTTATAATTTATTTTTAAATAATCTGATAAACATATTTATGGCAATCATCCCATAGACTGAAGTTTTATAGCAGCACCAACAACAGCATAAGAAAGAAGAAGAAGAAGAAGAAGAAGAAGAAGAAGAAGAAGAAGGAGAAGGAGGAGGAGAAAGGGGGTTGAAGTTGTTTAAAAAGTGGGTACAGGTTAAAACGTTTTTAAAAAACGGGTATAGGTTAAATGGGGGCGACCAAATAGAGCGCCCCGTGCAATTTTTACACAAAATACCGCATGTAAAGTAGAAAAGAAAAATAAGTTACTTTTTAATAGTGTGGGAGCTTTTGGGAAAATCCGTGTGGGTTTGATCCAAAGTAGACAATATCACACCATGTTAATGGAAGAAACTCAAAATTAGCCAGATTTACAAGTGGTCATTCAAAAATAGTCACAGTTTCAAAAGTAATCGAAATTTAGCCACTTTCATGTAAAGATAAATCTGAACGAAAACACTGTTCAAAATTCGGAAAAATACTCCAGTATAATATATTAGAGTTCCAGTATAATATACCGGTCCAGCATAATATACTGGAGAAGATAAATCTGAACGAAAACACTGTTCAAAATTCAAAAAAATACTCCAGTATAATATATTAGAGTTCCAGTATAATATACCAGTCCAGCATAATATACTGGAGATTGAAGCTCCAATCTCCAGTATATTATGCTGGAACTTTCCGCGTGTTGGAGTTCCAGTATAATATGCTGGAAGTTCATACACAGGTGCATCGATCTCCAGTATATTATGCTGGAACTTTCCATGTTGTAGCAAAATAATGGCTATTTTTCAATGACTTTGCAAACACTGTCTATTTTTGAATGACCAGTCCGAAAACTGGCTAGCCGTGCTATTTTTACCATGTTAAGAGTATCTTTGGTTCGTTTTATCCGAACAGGCCGCAACCCCCGAAGGAGTGTAATGTATACAACATACCTTAATGCAAGCATTAGTGGCTGCTTACACGGTTCGAATATGTGACCCATATATATATATATATATATATATATATATATATATATATATATA